ACACATATTCCAGCAGCAAGCTGCAGCATAGGCCACAGGTGTATTTTGCAAACAACACAGTGACACATATTCCAGCAGCAAGCTGCAGCATAGGCAGGTGTCAGAGATCAGGACTCGGACAGACGGACGGCGGGTATGTTGGAAATCTCACGGGGACGGCTAGGGTTATCTTCACCGCTTTGAAGTGGAAGCATAGGCAGTGGAAGTGTGGAAGGAGTCCTGATGACGCTGGTGGCTCTTCTCCTCTTCGGGCCACGTCTCGGCGATGTTGTGTGAGCCGTTGTCGCTCGAGTTCCAAGGCCTCCGCCGTGATGGTTGTGAATACCCTCCGCCTGCGGTCGGGTTCCCGTGCCCGCTCCTTCCGAACAGATAGCCGAGGCCAAACCCAGAGAAAGCACTTGGCCAACTAATTCCACTGCTCGCTATGCCTGAACCCGGTGGTCTTGGCACAGAAGCGCCATACCCTTGTGAATCAGGGTAGCCATGGGGAGGCGGCTGAGGAGCCGCATAATATGGAGGAGAGGGGAAGGCACTGCCCGGGGCAGAGAAACCGTTGCCTGGATACGGAGGCGCTGACGGCTGGTAATCATCTGATCTGTGCTGTCGTGCCTCTGCAAGTTCACAGATTCCGTCCCGGTGGTCCCCCACCATAATTACAAGGCGAACACCACAAGGCAAACACCACCAACCACCCAAACCAGTCACAACAACCCCCAACACCATTCAGGTTAAAAATGATCAGACAAAGAGAAACAGAAATCATGCTAAATAAGCAGTCTGATCAGACGAAGAGAAACACAAAACATAACAAAGAACCAAGCTTTTGAAACTACCCCCCCCCCCCCCTCTCCTTTTCCCCCCTTCACCTTCCTCGCAACGCTTCCCTCTTTCAAAACTTCTGAATTGTCATTTGTAAGGAAGTGAAAGGGTTACATGAAATTACATGGCCTGATCAGAGTCAATGCAGATGTAACGATAAGTAAATAAATCAATAAGAAAGAAAAAAAAACGATGAGACATTATTCAATACAACTACAAACAGCCAATGCAAGGTGTGCATCACTGCATCTCCTTTCTTTCTTTCTTTTTTTTTTTTTTGGAAGTTTTTTCCTTCCCTTGTGTTTTGAATTGGCATCTAGGAAGAGTGTGCAGTCATAAGCACCTAAATAAAGCACAAAATGTTGTGTGGTTTGAAACTCTATGGTCGTAAACGAAGGTGGCAACGCCGACCCACATCTTCGTCGTTGAAGTTCTATGCATAGGGGCCGGCGGTGCCCGAACATCTTCGTCGTTTTCTCCTCTGTTTCTGCTTAGGGGAAAGGAGTTTACAACTTCACGCAGATGTATCTCCCAAGCTACTATGCTACTGTCTTCCCCCGAACACAACGCATCCCCATTTTGCCTGTATCGGGTCAGAAACATAGCTTGTATACGTTCATTTTCAGGGTGCGTTATGTTCGGGGAAAGACGGTAGGCTTTACCAGAGTGGCCTGGGACCACTCCACCGGCCTTGGCCCCCCCCCAAAAACAAACAAACAAACAAACTTATTTCTTAATTTGTAATACTTCCTTTGTAAATTTTGCGAGGATCAGGGTCCTCGGTAGGCCTATGGGGCCCTGTCTGCAGCCTTACCCGCCCTAAGTGAAGGCGGAGGTGCCCGCCCTAAGTGAAGGCGGAGGTGCCCGCCCTAAGTGAAGGCGGGCCTGGCTTTTTGCAAAAGGCCTTCGACTGCCAATTTTGTATTTGGGGTTCAGGCAGTTGTGACGCGCCAGTTGGTTGAAAGAAACACAGGCCGAGCAACAAGGACATTTCCACGGCCTACCGGGCCTTTCCAAAGAATGCAGGCCCTGGCCGTGATTCGCAGCCTCATACAGAGACAGTTGGGTGCCCAACCGAACGAGGCCCAGCAGCCC